AGTACAAACATTAGTTGGGGAATCTACGCAGACGCGCAGGTACGCCGTCCGCTCAGGAGTTGCAACAGCACGTACGCAGAACCTCGTTCCCGATTCCCACCATGGCCCATGTAGCCCAACACATGTATTTATGTAGACCCATGGGGTCTCTCCGCCTTTCGGTGTGCCCTTGCTCCCCCTGTTCTCCCGCCTTCCCCTTCCGCCCTTGTGCCCACGTTGCGTTGATTCGCCCTCATAGCTGGCCTTTGCACGGAGCCTGTGGCGGCGGAACATTGTGCAAGACAGTCCCGGCCTGCCGTTTGGGATCTTTGGCCGTACCCTGACCGCCACGCGTCCGTGCCTGGCTCAAGCTGGACAGAGCTCCCCCTTCTGAGCCGACCGCGTGGGATCACGCGGCGTCCCCAGCGGGCCCTCGCCGATGTACGCCGCCGGGGGGGGCCATACAGTTCTGCTCACGAGCGATGGCACGGCCGTGGCCTGCGGCGGCAATCATGAGGGCCAGTGTGACATCCCAGCGCTGGCCGCGGGCCTGAGTTACATGCAGGCTGCCGCTGGATTTCGGCACACAGTTCTGCTGAGCAGCGATGGCGCGGCCTTGGCCTGCGGCAACAATGAGCAGGGTCAGTGCGTCATCCCATTGCTGGATGCTGGCCTAGCTTACACGCAAGCCGCCGCTGGATATGGTCCTACAGTTCTGCTCAGGAGCGATGGCAGTGCTGTGGCCTTTGGCAACAATGATGAGTGCCAATGTGACATCCCAGATCTGAATGATGGCCGTACTTACGCGCAGGCTGCCGCTGGAGGTGGCCATACCGTTCTTCTCAAGAGCGATGGCGTGGCCGTGACGTGTGGCGACAATGAAAGGGGTCAGTGCGACATCCCAGCGTTGGGAGCTTGCCAGAGTTACACGCATGCAGCTGCCGGAGGTGGTCATACTGTTTTGCTCAGGAGCGATGGCGCTGCTGTGGCCTGCGGGAACAATGATGATGGTCAGTGTGACATCCCAGCGTTGGCCGCGGACCAGATTTACACGCAGGCTTCTGCTGGAGGTTACCATACAGTTTTGCTCCGGAACGATGGCACAGTAGTTGCCTGCGGCGAAAATTATTCGGGCCAGTGCGACATTCCCGTGTTGACCGCGGGCCTGACGTACAGGCAAGTTGCAGCTGGAGATGGCCATACCGTTCTGCTCAGAAGCGATGGCACTGCTGTTGCCTGCGGCAGCGATTTGAGCGGCCAGTGCAAAGTCCCGGTGTTGGCCACAGGCTTGTTTTTTGCCGCCCATTTGTTACCAACGTTGCTCTTGCAGGCCTCACTCGTTGACGGAGCGATCTGTTTCGCGACACTGGGAGGTGAGGAACGCTGCCGATTCAGGGCAGGGCCCTCCGCTCTCCTGACAGGGATCTGAAGGGCTGCGGTCTCTGCCGCCGCCCCACCTAAAGCCAAGCCATCATGGGGTTATGCTTATCGTCTCACCAATCGCCATCTCCATTGGGCCATGTTTTCTCAGCCCCACGATCCCACCACCCCAAATTTGGGATATGCTCCGCGAAACCCGACGGGAACAGCATGCATTCCCGTGTAGTGGGTTCAGTCGGCCAGTGTGGCCACGGCCGCGTTAGTGGGGATAGGGATCGGTTGAACGATGGCCAGGTTATCTTGAGACGTCATGCAGCCCTGTTTTTTTCTTCGTTTTCGTTTTCCTATCTGTCGGATTCATGTTGTTGAATCATCATGTCTGAAGAATAATTAGTGTTGATTCCCCCCCTGCTGGTGCGTTTGTGTTGAATTCTCAGTATCGAATCCGTATTTTTGATCCCCCCCTTCCGGGGCACACTGTATGTTTCGATTGAAGTGCCCTTTCTGGGGCTCGCACCCTGTTTTTTACATGGGAGGGTCTTGCGCCTCAGATGGGCCCCTGGCCCCCATTTTACATCAAGAGCGACTCCACCTTGACATGTCTTGACACATGTACTCAAAATTGCGTTCTCGCGCGGGACGTCCTGACATTTTACAGAGGAATCGTGCTCTCGCGTGGGACCGCCTCGCAATTCATTGAGTCGCCGCGCCCTCGACACTCAGGAATCACTTATCCGAGTGATGGGGCCGAACGGTCATTCATTGTCCATCGGTGCGTGGCTGAATAAGGAATTCGTGGTGGGAATTATGTTTGTTGCGTTGTTGTTGTTGTTGTTGTTGTTGTTGTTGAACTCTCATTTCTAAAGAATCATTATTGTTGATATCCCCCGTCCGGTTCCACATTGTTTTTTATCAAGGAAAGTCTTGACGGTCAAACTCCGTAGTTGGCCCCCGGTTTACAACAACAGCGGCTCCCGCCTGATATTTCTGTACAGTGTATTGTTGAAGAATCGCGCTCTCGCTTGGGACTTCCTTGCAATTTACCACCAGATCGCGGTTCCCGCTTGATAGTTCCTCGCAGCTTATTGAAGCATCGCGCTCTCACTTGGGGCTTCCACGCTCCTCTCGACACGGTTGCAGTTCTCATTATCCTTCCGCCCCGCTCTCCCAACATCCCGCTTTTTTTCAGTGTTCCACGAGATGGCTTTCGGACACCACTTCGCAGCTGCACTTCCCCCCGTGGGGGTTTCCATTTGTTTCTTTGTTGTCCTCCCTTTTTTTTCAAGGGGGTGGTACGTGGCGCTGTTTATGGCGCGACCCATGGCGAATCTTACTGTTAACATGTGTTGGAGTGGCTGGCGTAAGCCATGGCGCAAGCTGAATCGCCATTCGCAGTGCAAATCATCGTCCTCTCTCTTTCTTGCCCCTCCCCACCCGTCCTCCAGTCCTTTCGTCCTCATTCCCCCCCGCTGCCTGTTACTTTTGGTTTTCAAGGGCTTCACCAACCACGCGTGGCACGGGATGAATATACCCCCAAAAGGGAACCACGATCGAAGACGAAGACGTCGGGTATCCAGGGTTTGGCGTGCATATTGAATGACGCGCGAGCAGATGACAGCGAACAGTCTTGCCTAGAGGATAATTATTGTTGGTCGCCCCCGCCGGTGTATATGGTTGTTTTTCGATCAAAGTGTGCCCCCCGACGCTCGTTCGGAAACTCTTGAGGTTCAAAGTGGGCCCCTGGCCCCCGGGTTACAACAACAACGGCTCCCGTATGCAACTTCTTTACAATTTAGCCAGGACCCCCGCTCCCGCCCGAAACGTCCTCACATTTTATTCATGAATCGCGTTCGCTTGGATTTCTTTTTGATTTATTCAGGAATCGCTCTCCTGGCGCCCTGGAGTCGCATTCTCGCTTGCTGGCCGTTTACTGAAGAAGAGCGCCTTTTCGTTGGAATATCATGCGATTTACTCAAGCGCCGCGCTCCCGCCATCCAGGCACCCAGGAATCGCCCTCACGCTTAGGACTCCCCCACATAAAACATAGGAATCGGGATTTCGCTGCCCTTCGCGGCCCCGTTGCATCCCTTCGTGGCCCCCTCGCTTTGTTTCGTGGCCCCGTTGCAGCCCTTCGTGGTCCCCCTCGCTGCCCCCCGCGGCCCCGTCGCAGCCCTTCATGGCCCCGTTGCAGCCCTTCGTGGCCCGTTCGCTGCCGTTCGTGGCCCCGTTGCATCCCTTCGTGGCCCCCTCGCTGCCCCCCGTGGCCCCATATATGTATGCCCTTCGTGGCCCCCGCTCGTTCGCGCCCGTGGTGGCCCCATATGCATGCCCTTCGTGGCTCCGCTGTTGCCCTTCGTGGCCCCCCCGCTGTCCTTCGTGGCCCCGTTGCTGCCTTCAGTGGCCCCGTCCTTGCCTTCCGCGGCCCAGTATACGTATGCCCTTCGTGGCCCCCGTTCGCTCGCAACCGTTATGGCCCCATGTGCATGCCCTTCGCGGCCCCGCTGTCGCCGTTTGTGGCCCCCTCACTGTCCTACGTGGCCCAGTTGCTACCCTCAGTGGCCCCATTGTTGCGTTCTGTGGCCCCGCATTATCTGCCCTTCGTGGCCCCCGCTCGTTCGCGCTCTTCGTGGCCCCATACGCATTTCCTTCGTGTCCCCGCTGTCGCCCTTCGTGGCCTACTTCGTGTCCTTGTGGCCCTGCTGTCGTTTTGTCTCGCTCTCGCTTTCGCTCGTCGTCGTCGTCGCCGTCGTCGTCGTCGTCGCCGGCGTCGTCGACGTCGTCGTCGTCGTCGTTGTCGGTCCCCGGTCCATCTTTCTTGGGGTCGGGTCGACGGTCCACGGCCGCCCCGCCGATCAGCGCTGCCGCTGGCCAGGCCGACAGTCCGCGGATGCCCCGCCGCTTGCTGGGGCCCCGTTTGCACGGAAGACAGGTATACCCTCCAAAAAGGGTTCGATCGAAGACGAGGAGGGCGGGTGTCGAGGTATTGGGAAATATTCGTTATTGGACTCGGATAAGGGCGAACAGTCTTAAAATGATTGTTGCTGTCGGTGTTGGTGTTGGTGTTGTTGCTGGTGGCGTTGTTATTATAGTTGTTGTTGTCGTTGTTGTTGTTGTCGTTGTTGTTGTTGTTGTTGTTGTTGTGGTTGTTGTTATTGTTGTTGTTGGGTTTTTTTTTGCAAAACAGTTATCTTGGTGGACGCCTTACAGGCGGCCTAGCACTCTCGTCGAGGCACCGGCTGTATTTTCATTGAAAATGAAGCCCGCTCTGAAGCGGTTGGGGGGGGCGCCAGAACCGGCCCCCCCAACAACAACAACGCTCCCTTTCGAGATCTCCTCCTTTTTTACTCAGGGTTGTTGCTCTTGCTCGCCGCCGACAGCAACCGTCGCAACAAAACCATTGTTCCCGCTCGAGACTTCCTCCCGTTTTACGTTGGCAAGGCGCTGTCCTTTTTCTCTCATCGGCGCCGCCCCCCAGCAACAATGCTCCCGCTCGAGTTGTCCTCCCTTTTTTACTCAAGGCGGTGCTCTTGCTCGCCGCCGACAACCCCCGTCCCGACGAAACCAGCGCTCCCGCCCGCGACTCCCCCCCGTTTTACGCAAGACTTGTGCCCTTTTCTCCTCCTCCTCGTCCTCGTTTTCCTCCCCCACCCCGTCCTCCTCCTCCTCCTCCTGTTCCTTCTCCTCCTCCTCCTCCTCTTCCTTCTCCTCCTCCTCCTCCTCCCTCCTCCCCCTCCCTCCTCTTCCTCCCTCTTCCTTCCTCCGCCCGTTCCTCTTCTCCCTCCTCCCTCATCCGTTCCTCTTTCCTCCTTCCTCCTCCCTCCCCGTTTCTCCTCCCTCTCCTCCACCTTTTTCTCCTCGTCATCCCTTTTTCTTTTTCCCCTCCTCCTCCTTTTCCTCCTTTTCCCTCCTCCCTCCTTCCCCCTTCCTTTTTCTTTCTTTTCTTCACAATTACTCAATATGAGTACTACTTTCCCGCTTCCCCTGATGACGGCTTGAAAGTGCTCGATCCTCCCCCCCGCGTATTGTTTTTTACACATAGGTTTCCCCGGAGTTGGGTTTTCGCTTGCATGTTTTCAAAATGCTGCTCTCGCTGAGGCGCCGGCCTCATTTTCGGGCACTGCTCGTTCCGAATCGCGCTCCCGCTGCAGCGGTGGCCTCATTTCCGTGCTTCCGCTCGTTTCGACATCCGACTGTGCGAGTAGAGAGGGGATCTGCGCCATGGTAATGGATGGGAGGGACGGGTAGGATGTCAGATATGACGCGAGCGCACCTAGCTTGCCTCCACCTTCTCTTCTCCTTCTTCCCTCCTCCCTCTCCGGTCCTTCTTCCCTCTCCTGATCCCCCCTCCTCTGTCGTCCTTTCCCTTTTCGTATCCCTTGTCCTCCTGCCTCCCTTCTCCCTCCTCCCTCCCTCCTCCATTCCCCTTCCGTCCTCCTTCGCCGCTCCTGTTTGACACTTCCTTATGTTTCACTCGGGACTGGGGCCCTCGTTTCGGCATCGTTGTTGGGGGTCTTCCAAGAATCCCCGTTGAACTTTCATCGTTGAATCATTATCATTATTGGATAGCATAAATTGAAGTGGAGGAGGAGGAGAAGAAGGAGGACGCATGATTTCCAGGTTTTCCAAGGATCGAGGGTCGACGGGTTGACTTCAGGGATTCCTTGAGAGGGCGTGGAAGGGGCAGGTGGAGGATGCGAGCACGGGGGCGGCAACGCCCGGGGGCGTGAACGCTCAGGGTCACGCGCAGAGGCCGCAGGGTGGTGGCGCAACAGTTCGAACGATGAGTAGGAACCACATAGTCCTCGGTGGTACTGCAACTTACACCACTCCTTCCTCCCCCCTCCCCCCCCCTCCTCCTCCCCCATCCTCCTCCTCCCCTCCCTTTTCCTCTCCCTCATCTTCCCCCCTCTTCGTGCTCTTCCTCCTCTTCCTAGATGCGGGGCGTGCCCGGGGCGATTGCGACGGCGACGCGCCGTCCGCGCTGTGGATGTCGAAGCTCCTCGGGGGAGGTCGTGGCAATGCGTTCTTTGGCGGGGGATCTGGGCGCGGGGGCGCCGGGCCCCGCGCGCCATAAGGCCCCCCCCGCGACGGGGCGTGGCGCCCAGAAGGATGCGCGTGACATGTGGAACCGCGGCGCACGATGGTATATGATTGTCGTTGTTGCCGTTGTTTTTGTTGTTGTCGTTGCTGTTGCTGTTCGTTGTTGTCGTCCCGCCCGCGGCCCGCCCCGCGGCCCGCCCCGCGACCCGCCCCGTGGCCCGCCCCGCGATCCGCCCCGCGGCCCACCCGCGACCC